AACATAGTCAAGTGAGAAGTGTAAAGCGGAGTAGGTGAGTGTTTTGGCGATTCGATAATTAAACAAGGAGTCACAACCCTTTCTCATTTTATTAACTAGAAGAACCAGAAACATGGTGACACAGTGTAACTGTTCTGACGAGGGGCAACTCAAAAGTCGTACATCTTGAGAATAAATCCACGTTATCGCATTTTAAACTGAGGAACGTTCAGAATTAGGGGCGGCTAAATAAGGATGACGAACTGCTATATCTCAGAAAGTAAAAAGGATAGAGACATTTGGTACATTTTTAAAATAAATATGCCCAAGAGGCAATGTTTTGGTTTAACATGGTCATCACTAGCGGATTAAACATGCACCACAAAGCAGAAATCCGGGATTACCTCTAAAAGCGTCGGTTACCCTATGTAAACGGGAGAAGTAAAATTGAAAACCGCGTTATAGGTTAACACAACTGTAGATGATGAGTAACGGGTAAATCAATTAGCCAAAACCCGAAGTCTCTAGGTGACCCAGAGCCCTAGATCTCGATGGTATATACAGACAGACAGACAGACGACGCAAAACGAGTACATAAGCGTTACCTGGGCTGAAGTAAGAATTTTTCATCTGTGGCATGTGAGATGGGAATTTCCTTAGATCAGTTTCGAGCATTCTGCCGGCTACTCCGAATTAGGTTTTCCTGCAGTTTTCCTAATTCGTAAGGTAAATACCGGAGTCGCATAGAACAACTTAAGACCGTATGCTAGAAGGCTGCACGATAATAGAAATTCACTATCGATTATCGATGTATCGATTATCAACCATAATAGCGATAATCGATTATCGAGGGTCCGTTAACTTGGCCCCCCCACTGAGAGAATTCATAGTCGTATTATTTTGAAATGAATGCGCTCGATATGCGCTCATATGCGCCACCGATAATAACTCTTGCGCCATTATCGTTTTTTAGAAATCCGAAAAAACATTTGGGGGGGGGGGCAAGTGAACGTAGCCCCCTCAGTACGTATTTTGTCGCTTGTAACTAGGTCACCTGATACATTTGGTTATGCGCTCAATTGCGCCACTTGAATTAAAGCTAGCGCCATTACGGTTAAGCCGTGACAAATTTTCAAAAAGTGGGGGGGCCAACTTAACGTTTTTAAAAGTTACTTTTTTTAACATCTTTTCATACGAAATTGTACTCTCAGGTATGCGCTGAAATGCGCCGTAAAAAGATATCTTTGCGCCATTATTGTTTTTTGGTTATCCTTAAATATATTTGGGGGGAGGGGGGGCAAGTGAACGGAATCCCCCATAACGCATTTTGCTACCGGTATTTGTGCAACTTGATACATCTGGTTATGAGCTCAATTGCGCCACTTGAACTAACGCTAGCGCCATTACGGTTAAGCCATAACAAATTTTTAAAAAGTGGAGGGTCTAACTTAGCGTTTTCAAAAGTTATTTCCGGAAGTGCGTCCATTTTGAAAATATTTTACATCGATTCGGCCTTCGGAGTAACTCCTAAATACAAATTTTTAAAAACCTACCTATTTTACTTTCTCAGAATCGTTTAACTAAAGCTCCCAAAAAAACACCCTGTATAGTGTTTCTGAAACACTATAATGGCGCCAAGATTTTTGTTTACGGCGCATTTTAGCGCATGATGAAAGGTACTATGTAGTAGAAAAAACATGTTAAAAAACGTAACTTTTAAAAACGTTAAGTTGGCCCCCCCACTTTTTGAAAATTTGTCACGGCTTAACCGTAATGGCGCTAGCTTTAATTCAAGTGGCGCATATGAGCGCATAACCAAATGTATCAGGTGACCTAGTTACAAGGAACAAAATACGTACGGGGGGGGGGGCTACGTTCACTTGGCCCCCCCCCAAATGTTTTTTCGGATTTCTAAAAAACGATAATGGCGCAAGAGATATTATCGGTGGCGCATATGAGCGCATACCGAGCGCATTCATTTCAAAATATTACGACTATCAAATCTCTCAGTGGGGGGGGGGGCAAGTTAACGGACCCGATTATCGATATTATCGGATATTGACGTTATCGATTATCGATATTGTCTATTATCGATAATTTTTTATTATCAATAATCCAGCTTTATCGATATTATCGATAATTATTTATATATCGACAACTTTTCGCAGCGGCATCTTTAAAAAGCATTATGCGGGTCACTCTGTAATTAAGCGAGATCCTGTTGACGGCTCAGCACAAGAGGGCCAATAAATAAATCAAAATAATTAAATGTAACCAAATTTTAACAGTCCAATTTCGATAACAGATTTAATGTGTTACTTCAAAGAAAAAAATAAATCTGAAATCATTGTCAAAGTAAAAACGTTTGATGTAGGTTACTTTTAGTTTTTACTTGCAACAGTGGCGAAATTTTCAAGAAATAAAAAAAGATCAGAATTATTTAAAATAAAACTTTGACGGATAAGGAGAAAAGCCGCCTTGAGGCGAAATATAGAGACCAAATTATCATTTCAGAATCAAGGAAAGCACCTACTGTTAATCAAAAGGGGATTGGTGGCAAAATTACGCACAATAACTGGCATTCCACTGAAAGGAAAGGAGGCGAACAGGGAAAAAGACGTCGAATTGTGGAGGCAGCTGGAAAAATAAACTTGGAGGACATCCGCTTCAGAGTGTTCAAAACCGTTGACAACTTCTTGGGGGGTGCGCGGTACTCTGGTATCCAGAGAAGCTGCTTCTTCTACTTCACGTTTTGATTTTGACCCACAAACTAAAGATCCTTGGAGCTTTGGAAAAAGAAATGCTTCACTCTGGCTCATGCGAGCATAGTAGCAGTGCGCCCTTTTATCCACCATCATGACTGCTGTTTCCGTGTTTATCTACCCAAAGTGCTTCTTCATTTTCTACCTTTAATGGGCTTTACATCGTCTTACGAAGAAATCAAGCTGCAAGCTGTGACTCCCCGGAAGCTGTAGCCACTGAGCCTACAGCAGCCCACCTGGAGGTGTCTTCAGCAGTCACAGTTTTTGCTGATTCTGGTATGGTAGACCGACCGCTCAAAGTAGGTCTGAAAACAATTACAATAGCGGCCATATGCATCAGCTCAAAAGGTGTCGCACCCTGGCCCGATGACATCCTTGGTTATATGGAAAAAACTACCACCACCATCCATACCTGGGTGGAATGGTTTTATGTAGTTTGGAACCAGTGGTGAAAAGTACGGATGCTCCATCCAGTGAATGTAATACGGTATATACATCTATTTATCTGCTCTTAAACAGTGGTTGGTTAAACAGAAAACTTGCATAGTGAATTTTGACCAGCCATTGTACTGGATAAAAGGAAGTGGAGGGAAATTTGACGAAAAATTGAAGGATACATGATGGCGAACTCGAGGAAAATGTAAAGAGGAAACTTAATGGTACTTTGAAAGGAATTGAATGCGAATTTGAGCCTAATAGTAACTTGAGAGAGAAGTTCAGGGGATGTCTGAAGAGAACTTGAAACTGAGCTAAGGAAAAGTTAAAGAAAATGGACGGGGAAGCTTTAACAGGAGCAAAGAGTGATACGAACTTAAAGGGCGTTGTAGAGAGGAACTTGACGTAGAAATTTGAGAAACTGAAAGCCCCTTCAAGATGCTTATGAAAAAATTGAAAAATACCAGCGGGGAACATGAAAGAAGTGTTATAGTTTTGGAGGTACATAAGGAGAACTTGAAATGAGTTTAAAGGAAACATAACATGAAAGGAATTTGATATAAACTGAGACTGAGAAAATTGATGGGAACTAAAAGCTTTCGAAAGGCATTTCGGGTAAGTTATATTTAAAGAGAAAATTAAGCAGAGGTGAAGAAAAACAAAAGATAAAGAGAGCAAATCAGGTCTCTGGTCTTGAGTAAACTCGGGAACACAGGTACAGGAATAAGTCTCTGGTGAAGTATAAATCCATACAAAGTAAAAATAAGTAAACTTTTAAGGTAAGCTTTGGCACCATATAACAATCGACCATGTTTGTTACAATTCTGTCAATAGAGATTAGCATTTCGTAGATATGTGGAGCCATAAATTAAATAAAGAATATATTCGAATAGGGTACTGTATTCAGTTTCTCTATCAAATCAAACCTACCTTCATACAGTAAATAAATTTAAATGAACGAAATGCCTCACTGACTTGTCATTGTCCTCATCTCAAATATCATTCTACACATCAATGCTAGTAATCAAACAAGAGTTCGTTTGACTAGAATACCGTGTGTGGATTTATGTATAAACCTGACTGAGTGTAATGAGCAAAATATTCCCCTAAACGCTCAATTGTAGGCAACGTGATAATAACAATGAAGCATGGTTATCGATTCATTAAAAACCGTAGTAATCTTTCATCGCCAATTAGTTAATCGCCATGTTACAACGGGTAAAGAATGGAGTTTTATTGAACGAATCCTTTCTAGGTGTTGCAGTAATTGTAAACCATTACTTGTTTAGTATCGTTAGTAAAACGAAGGGTTCCTTCATTGAATAAAAATAAATTTACTAAATTCAACACTTTAAATAAGAAACGCTCAAGAGGGTACTTAAATATGTCGTCGCATCTTTCAAAACCTTATCACAAAAGCAATAACGAATAAAAGGAATAAAGTTGTAGCAAATCCCTCAAAGAAGCCATAATGTAAATGCTCAAATCAAAAACGCGACGTTAAATATGTGCCGTAAAGTTTCCTGAAGCTGAAAAGCCTCGTACATTTAACAGAAGAATAGAGAAGGACGGGCCTCGAAAAACATAACGCAGAATAGCGTTAATGTAGTGCTTAGTGCCGTTTTATGCGTGAATTCTTAACTGACAAAGCGGTTTTCTTTTCTTTCAAATTTAGTTGTATATCATAGCTTTCTTCAATACAATACATTTAGATGATACGGTTAGATATTTTTAGAACAAGAATCTATTCCCGTTTTCAATTTCGTCTCTATGTCTATTGGGGCGCAAAGACGTGAATGTAAAAGGCAAAGTAAACGTACTTACCGGTGCTTTCCGATGAGTGAATATCGGGACATGCTTGATAGCTTAGTAGCAGTCGACTGTCTTCCGTACAAGTGTCAATACTGGAAACGGGCGATCTGCATTCTCCATCTCCTCTGTTGTATGTAAATGTAAACGGTCCACGAAAAGGGCAGGAAATGGGAGCTGCATTTTCACGAAACATTGAATATAATAGAGCATCGCCCGTGATCGAACTACAAAGTGTTAGAAGCGATTCCTTTCCGTAGCAGTAAGCTGAAAAATCATTTTATACATTTTTCCTAAACCTTTTTACATTGACAAGAGATGGTCACAAATTTTCCTATGGAAATCAAGACATCAGATTCCTTATTTATGTCTTTAGCAAGCATTCTCACTTCATTTTCTAATCAAATGGTAAGAAGCTTTGGAGGAATGTTAACAATTACTCTGGGGATTAACATTTAAACTTTAGAACGTACGAGTTTAATAATTGCTTGCCCTCTTTATCACTCTTATTTTTTCCCTCCACTTACGCTCTTCTTTCGTGAATGCCCTCCGCGGACGTACTCCATCACAACGCATCACGCGGGATAGGGACCTCAAGAAACGCCGAAACGGAATCCAATCAATTTTTTTAAACTTTGGTATACTACCTACTGGTAAAATCTCCGTAAATTTATAGTTGGTTTCTTTGTAATTTTTCTCAAGATTCTGTTACAAATCATAGCGTACCATTAACTTTATAAACCACTTGCTACTGTAAACCACCCTTATGGGACGATCTTAAACACTACCTTACATGCGTAAATTATCGAATTTGCAGCAAGGTGTTTACCTATGTCCGTCTTGCTTGTTCAGATATGACAGATGAGAGGCAGGAAAAGGGGACTATTGGGAGGTGATCTAATTCCTATACAGGGTCATTCTTGACGAGCGTCAGTTAGAAAGATATGGAAAACCTTTGAAAATTAAGCTGAACTGATAAGCCCTTTAAGGATTTTGGCACATGATGAATTGAACTAAAATATTTTCAAAACGGCGCCACTTCCGGAAATACCGGAAGTAGCCATCAACTTTGTTATTTTAAATAGGGACCCCCTATTTTTTCTACATTTTCGGATTCTACGTCGAATTTGGAGTACAACGATACCCCAAAGTTGACCCTTTGCTCCAAGGGCTTCGCCGATATTCAAGTTTTTGTGTCAAAAATTGAATTAGCAGGGATAACTTTAAAAATTTATTATTCGAAAACGGTGAGAGATATTGCAAAACAGTTTCCAATGCTTTATTAAGGAAAGATCGAATTTTCTTATGGTATGCGTAACCGTCTAAAAAAGTGAGACTACGTCACTTTTTCAAAGCTCTCAACTTTTAAACTTTTAAATATCCGTAACTCCATTTTTTCAAATGGTACCCCCCATTTTGTTCTTCACCCTTGTTTTCCTTTTTCCCAGACCTTTAATTTGATGCAAAATTTCAAAAGCTGCTTCAAACGGTTTCCGAGATATTCCATGTTTTAGTTACTTCTTTTGGCCAATTGATAAAAAAATTAAATCGCTTAATGTTATTCTTTTGTTTTTATTATGATAATGTTCAAACGTCAAATTTTCGCTGCTTGAACTTATACTTCTCGTCAATATAATGGCTCGTTTGGGTTACACTAATGAAGATTTTTTGAATTTAATATTAATACACGGTGAATGTAATCGAATAGCTGCTAGGAAAAGTAGCGAAAATTTGACGTTTAAACATTATCATAATAAAAACAAAAGAATAACATCAAGCGATTTAATTTTTTTATCAACTTTCCACAAGAAGTAACTAAAACATGGAATATCTCGGAAACCGTTTGAAGCAGCTTTTGACATTTTGTATCAAATTAAAGGTCTGGGAAAAAGGAAAACAACGGTGAAGAACAAAATGGGGGGTGCCATTTAAAAAAATGGAGTTACCGAAATTTAAAAATTAAGAGCTTTGAAAAAGTGACGTACTCTCACTTTTTTAGACGATTTCGTATACCATAAGAAAATTCGATCTTTTTGTTAATAAACAATTGAAAACTGTTTTGCAATATCTCTCACCGTTTTCGAATAATAAATTTTTAAAATGACCCCTGCAAATTCAATTTTTGACATAAAAACTTGAATATCGACGAAGCCCTTGGAGCAAAGGGTCAACTATGGGGTATCGTTGTACTCCAAATTCGACGTAGAATCCGAAAATGTAGAAAAAATAGGGAGTCCCTATTTAAAATAAGAAAGTTGATGGCTACTTCCGGTATTTCCGGAAGTGGCGCCATTTTGAAAATATTTTAGTTCAATTCATCATGTGCCAAAACCTTTAAAGGACTTATCAGTTCAGCTTAATTTTCAAAGGTTTTCTATATCTTTCTAACTGACGCTCGTCAAGAATGACCCTGTATAGGGAATTTCCATGGGGAAGGACAAACAAGAGTGGACATCAAGAGACAAATAATGCAACAAGGAGGGAGGGAATATAATTGCTATTAGAAGTAGGTAGCGGAAAAGATGGAGAATAATAAACGAAATCATGTAGGGTTCTGTAGAGAGACAAAGACAATACACATATATAGGGAAATATGGCGGTTGGTAATAGACATCATAGTAAACGAAATGCGAATTGAAGAAATTAAAGAATCTATGATAGGAACCCCGAGGGAAACGTACTATATAACGTTACAACGACGAAGAAAGGAACGAAAGGAACTGTAGAGAATTACAGACGAATAGTGAACAAATGGGAAAAATAATGTTAGTACACAGAAGAAGCGTGAAAAAGATGAAGGAAAACTAGAAATGCAATATTATAGAAATAGGTAAAAAAGAGGAAGCAGGGGAGATATCAAAAGAAGACGTGCTGCAACAAAGAAAAAGAGTCAAAAGAGAACAGAAAGTAGAGACTGAAGACCTGAAAATGAATCATGGAAGTGTTGAAAAGGGTAATAGTGAAATATGGTAAGGAAGAGAACTACCAGAGATGGGAACAATAGACTGTATAATGTACTCCATAGACGGTAACCGCATAAAAAATGGAATTCAACAGACATAAAATATTAACACAGCATCAAAAAGGAATTTTAGTAGGAACAAAGACTCCAGGCATATGACGGACGACACAGTAATATTGACAAAAATAGAAAAATATGAAGGAAATAATAAAAAGGATAGAGACATTGGCAAAACAAAAGTCAAATATCCGAGATCTCACATGCGCAGAAACTGTGGAGCAATCGCACGATAAGGAAATCATAGGGTAAAGAAGTTGTCGTGATGAGATAAGCGTGGGCAATAGGAAAAAAGAAATGCAAAAGTGAATAAAAAATACACATTTCAGGCGATGGTAAGCGGGGTATGGAACGGAGATGTGGTGATGGTAGGAATGCAAGGTGGGTATTCGACTTGAACAGAAGAACACCAAACTACATAGCCGAAGAGACACAAAATGAAGAAAATAAGAATAGAAACAGGATGAAGGACGGTAGAATAGAGGAAAGAAGACAACAAGAATGAACATGTAACAACTGTTACAATTATTTTAAGATGGATTCTCAATAAACAAAGAAAAGTGGTCAATAACAGCACTTACCTTGGGTCTGCTTTTGGTTCTCAGTTACAATAATAATATGCCTCGACTAATATTTAACTCAGGATTGAGATGCTCTTTTTCTACAGGACTTCTGGGTGTTTTACAATTCACTGCTTCGATAGAGAAAACAAAATATAATGCAAAATGACAATACCGGTATAATTTTCTTCAATGCTTTTTAAATCAATTTCTAGTTCTAACTTATTGCTTCCCTAAACAAAACAACTAAATATTATTTCTACCTCACTTAAGCTAAACAATCCAATACTCTTCATACAAATGAAACCTATTTAATTTAAACATCAGAAACGCAGAAAATGTTTTTTGTTTCTTTTATTCGCCCGAAATGAATGTCGAACTCGCGAATACACAAATAAAATTTGTTAAGTACTTATCTCTTTTTACGTCGCCCTCAATGTAAGCTCGTTGTCGCCTGCCTGGGTTGACTCCTAGTGCGGCTCAGACTCCTTGAATTTCGTCGATGTCGGTGACCTCCAAATAGATTGGTTCGAATATCGATTCCTCCTCGATCTTCTTCAGGTGAAAACAAACGCCGGCAAATAAACAAATCGCTGGCCCAAAACGGTAAAAACAAATCGCTGGCCCAAAACGGCAAAAACAAATCGCTGGCCCAAAACGGTAAAAACAAATCGCTGGCAAAAGGTGAAACTGGTTTCCCAACAGGGAATTACAAACTTCGTTCACGTGGAAAGTTTTCTCGCTCTGGATGGCGTTGAACTCGCATATGATTGCGTCACTATTGCACAATATTTATTATCAGTTATTCGCGTGTAAAGGTAACGAATTTTATACTACAAAATGTAGAGCACTTTCACTGCCTCCCTACGTAAAAATCTTCACGCTAAAGATATTCTCTAGGACAAAAATGTTTAATTCAGTTTTACTACAACCGCCTTGACTTTTCTTAAGCGGCCATCGCTCTCTTCTCTTATACCAACTTACTCACTAAAAATGACTAAACTCCCCAGAACTTATGTACAGTATGTTCCCAACTTAATTTACTAACAAATATTTATACACAGTATGACAAAATGAACCAGCAGAAATGTCTGCGCTGTTACAAACACAAAAGGATATTGGTGCCAACAAAGAAATGTATTACGAAGTAAACGGATATGGGTGGGAAGAGATAGGGAGAAGGAGATAAAGAGGGGAAGTGTGGAAGAAGAAATATCAAAACCAAGAAACAAAAAATATTAGGAGGTATTACGCAGTAGGAGTCGACATATTAGGTAAGTGCAAGGACGTAAGAATATAAAAATAATAGTGGGTTTCAGATTTGGAAATTAGAAAAAAGAAACCTGGTAAATATCTCCTTAATTTTATATGGTGTACATTCCCCCATGGAATATTTGCCACAAAATAAATCTTGCCTTCTGTAAAAATTCGCCTTTCGAAAATTCAATGCTGAAATGTCTCTAGCCAAACACTCGCTTCCGGTAAAGTCTACGCCAGAATATTTATCTCCAGAAACTTACTCTGAATTTTTTTGCTTTCTCCGTTCAAATAGGGGATTTGAATTTGTTTTTATTTACTATAGTACTTAAATATTCGTGTACATTAATTTATACTACATACATAAAACAAAAGGTATGGTGCTTCGTTGGAATTGTAATTATTCACTTTAATGTAATTGCTTTCAGGTGCTTGTAATTGCAGGTAGGTAACTTTTGAATTTGTTCGTTATTTGTTTGTTTCATTTTAAATGTTGGAGTTGTTTCAGATTGCTCAGGTGTTTTTGAATGTCTTTAGCTGTTTCGTCCGTACAGAGGTAAATGACAAAGTCTTAAAGTTACTTAGCGGCATTCATCTCGAAATACAACTTTAGTCTAAGGGCCTTTAGATCGCTTCTGAACTGGAGAAGGTCCGGCTAATTAACAATTTATTTCATGCACTTTATGTGAGAGACTTAGGAATGTTATTTTTCACAAATTCTTCTTTCTTTGAAATCTATTTGAGCTTGGCCACTCTTTGGCTTATCAAATGTTCCATTAGATTGACGTCAGATTTAAATTATTCAAAGTCAAGAGTTTTATGACTTCCTCCGATTGTTATTTTTAGCTAAAAAAGAGCCAATAACGGAAAAAATAAAAAAATAAGCAGCTGAACTGGTTCGCGCATATAGTAAGAATGGAACTAGACAGACTTACAAGCAGAATAATAGAGATGGGAAAACCAAGGAAGACACAAAACAAACAGGTTTCCGTTGTAATTGGTCATGAACCAGTTTATTGCAATTAGGAAGAAGCTAGAGTGTACTCGCTAGTGATTGAGGGTTAGGGTAATAACTTTTGGTAGCTTCTACACTGAAATGGACGCTACAAAAGCAATCTGATATATCTTTATTAGGATCCGGTTGTGTTGAACCTTCAACTGAAGCTGTTGGCGTTGCCGAAGAGATTACTCAAACCGCTCAACCTGATCAAGAACAAGGATCAGTTCAGCTATCCTAGTTACCCGGATTCAGCAGTCATCATATTTGTGTGTGTTGATATTCCTAATACTACAAACGACGCCCCTTAATCATCTGGCATCGGATATAAGTTATACAGGATGCAAAGTGCCCCACATCCACGTTCTGATACAATGAAAGAACTTGGAAGCTGTTTTATCGATATTTGGTCGATGACATCGTTCCATAATCTTCGAACTGTAAGTGGAGACTGTGGAATTATATTATATCTTTTCTTACGCTCTCAAAAATGGTAATCTACGTCTAAGTAGGTCGTAGTTTATGTTCAGTGTGAAAATTGAAGTCTGTTGTGCCCCGATCAATCGACTTTTCGAGTTCGCCACAGACCAAAATCACATCGGCCCCTGTCCTTAAAAAGAGCTAGAGGATCACGGGATTAACCTTAGACTCCCTGCAATTACGAATTCAAACGTTCCTATCAGCGTCTCCAGGCCCTGTTCTTGGTGAAAATGCGAAATTCCAAATAGATTTCTACAACAATATCCTCTGATTGATGTAACACGGAAATCCATTTGTTAACTTGGAGGACGAGCTCGTTAACCTTCATGTTAACGATAACGATATTCCATTTAATTTAGACCGAAAGTGAAGAATATAAAAAAAATTGCAGCTCAAGTTCTATATTGACAACATGCTCAAATCAGGAATGTCCATTTCCGCTCAGATAGCTACCCAAGTCGAATTTTTCGTTCACGAAACGCATTCATTTCCGACTTCCATTGCCGATTGCGTTCGAGATAAGAGGGTCACCTCAATATCTCTTTTAATTGGCGAGATACGAAAAATTTGTGACATTACGATCTATCTGATTGCAAATTGAAACTTCCAGCATCACTTCCGGTTTAACTGGAAATCGTATTTTCTCAAAGTGAAAAATCGCTATTGGCTGCACTTTGTCGTTCGTCCGTCCGTCCGTCACACGTACTCCTTCGACTGAACTGATTTGGGCGGTATGGGGTTTTGCGCATGCGCAGTGTCAAAAGTTTGATTTAACGCATGCGCAGTGCTAAATGTTTTATCTATGAAGATATTAAATGAAACTTTACATGTGAACACTACGAACATAAGTGAAACTAACGATGTTTTCAAAATATTGTTTTGCGCATGCGCAGTGCCAAGTTTCTTATTTACAAAAGCATTTATATGAAATTTGATACATAGGCACTTGGAATAAAAGCAAAACTAACACCACTTTCAGAATTTGGTCCTGCGCGTGCTTAATGCCCACTTTTTTATTTAGGAAAGCATTTAATTAAATCGTTTTATATTTGTATACGCTCCACAAAAAAACAACCTCACCGTTGTGCGCTATTCAAACTTGTCACAGTGATTACTTTTAGGTTAAATTCTAAGACTCAATAAGAGTAAATAAGTGATAATCCGTAGCAGGAACAGTAAAAAACACCCGTACTGGATATTTCTATACAATCATATAGCATTTTAGCCGAATTTTTTGTAATGTAATTCATGTCGAGGGATTAATATAAAAGCGGAATTATTCCATATGCAAATTCTATATGGCAAGAGATCACAGGGGAATTGAATATCGGATTTAGGTATATGCGATCTCGCCTAAAGACTACAGACTTGCAGATTGCGCTCGGTAGTTCCAATGCATTAGAAACACTTTATACTATTTTATTGGATCGAAACTTCAATCATAGTTACAATAGACATTCAGGCATGTTATCACTCTTGCGCGCAACGATTGCATCAAAAGCTTTGAATTTGTGACCAACTCTTTTTTTAGCATCCCATTTTTATGTAACAATCGCAGGGCATTAACTTACTTTCTTTGTATTGTAGCACATTTTCGTGTTTTTCGTGAATCACAACGCAGCGATAACAACTTTTTCTGTAAAAAGAAACGTGGCGATTATAATGTAATTACAGAAGGGATTTACATACTCGTCGACTACTAGAAATTTATCTCCCTCCGACGCGATGCATCTTCCCTTACTGCTAAGCCTTGGTCCTTCAATTATTATTGGCTGTCGAACCCCCGATTGAAACCACGTTCCTTCCCATCGCTCGGGGAAAAAGCAAACTCCTGAAAAAGCAGACACAAATGGAAGTCCGTAAGCAGATTTATATTTGTACGGTATCAGTGAAAATCGAGGAAACTGAAGAAAAGGATTGAACGCTTCTGCAAGTTAAGCAGTTTCAATTTTCATAATTCATGAAAATCCCGTACGTAAGCAGATGCTAATTAAAAAAAACAAATCGAGGGTTTACCGAAACGCTTTTCTGGTTTTGTTGTGCAAATAAACCGGACAAACACAATTTCTTTGTACGGCTGTTGTTGAATCAAAATGATTGATATCCCAAGTAAAATACAAACGCAGGCAAACTGTTTTAAATTTTTGAGGCACTAAATTTAACAAGACCACTAATAAATCAAAAACCCGTTTGTATTTCATTTCGTTCGCCGACTTTTAATTTAATTATGTCATTAGATTTCCATTAGATATATCAAAATACAACCGGGAAATATCTAATTACGCCCTGTCCCTCGTTGTAAGGGTAGCGAAAGCTTTTAAAATCCATTCAAGTCGCACGTACCATCGATTGACGCACATTATGTAGATCATATCTATTGTGGTTTCGCTTGTGTTAGCTTTTCGTGAGATAAAGATGGGATTATGTACATTTTGGGGAAATATAAGTAAAAATGCAAATACAAAGAATTTGGAAGGGTCACCGTAAAAGGATTGAGGTTATTACATTATCCATTGAGTCGTATGTGATTCGGATTTTACAATTGTATCGCTTTTTTTCAGACAAATGCAATTACGGTACAATACGAAAAAGGTAATTTCTCGTTTTCTCGTTAAAACGGAAATAGAGAAAAAACTGTTACTTCGCAAAAACAGTCCCATTTGTAAAAGTGTTATTCCGTTTTTAAAATGGGGAAGCCGCCGTTCGTCGCTTCGCTTTAACAAGCGTTTTTGCGCTACTACAAGAGCAAATCGATCATTTAATACGAACTTACCTTCTTGTTTGAATGTTGCGGTGTCGTGAAAGAGGCAAATGATGAACAGAACAAAATTGTATAAAAAGCTCCATCGGACATCCATCCTGGGTTTAGTATTGCTTGAGGTTACATTGTAGCGTTACGCTCCTGAAACAAGCAAAAAATTGCTTTAATAAAGGAAATTACTAGAGAGCATATTTTATTAAGTTTGTTTTGCTGAGAGTTTGAAGATATACTGCCAAGAAGCGAGTAATTTGTTCTTTTATAGCATCCATTTAAATTGTACCTACACTTCTATTGCATTTTTCTTTTTGCGATTTCTATAACATTGTACGCTTTAATCCTGTACAAAAATTAAAAAGTGTCGCCAAAAGCATTCATTACATGTAAATATTAGTAGATATCTCTACTTGCAAAGCTATTTCTTTTAATGCATTGTGACATCAAACAATTTTTATATGCTCGTGAAACAAGCCATAAACCTTCGTTTTACTCTCAGTTGTATACGAGCTGCATTTGTTTAAAAAACTGCCTTTACTTACACAACGGTAACAAGACCATTGCATCTTTTACGACATAGTTTTCTGACTAGCGAATAAACTTGGCAATTCAAAAATTGCTTGCAACTTCGGTGGCACTTTATAAGGAAATCCCTAAAATTTGCAGAAAAAATCTTGCTAGACTAAATGTGTAAATTGACATTTGAAGAAAAAACTATAAATTCGACGAACAAGGTGTACGTACACCCCCAATGGACATCTAGAAAAGCTTAGTAAATTTTACCAATTTCATTTAAAGGTAACTTACAGTTAGTTTTCATCATAACTATATTCACAATCGGCTCCGAGAGAGCGATCTGTCAAATTGAAATAAAACTAAGAGTAGCTGGTGTTCTTGTCTCTTCTTGCACAGCACAAAAAACAAGAAATTATCTTATTTTCTTACGTAGAAATTTTTGCCCTGTTTAATGTTAATAGGAAAAGTTTATATTACAGAAGGTTTTCGGAATCTTTTATATATATAATATATGTGTTATTACACCTTTTAAATTTGTTTGTAAGAGCGTATTGTTTATTTAAACCTATTTGTTTAATTGGAAATGTGAAATTGCGTGTTAAAATGTAGAAACATCTGGTGACCTGTGATAAGAATTTTTATCAGGCGATAGTTGATTTCAACCAAAATGCACATCTGGCGCAGATAAAACAAACCCCCTACGCGGTTCTAAAAAAGTGACGGGCAGACGGACAGACGGACACCATCGACTTTCCTATAAACCCCTAAACCATTTAGTGCACCGAAAATTTTCTACATCGTCATCAACAAACCAGTTCAACATCAAGTTTGTATTAAAGCAAAGCGAAGTTCTGAAGCAAACCCCGACCCCAGATTTTAGAAAAACAAAAACTGTAAGTCATTTTAAGATTTCCTTATTTTTAATTATCGACCGTCTGAGTACGGAGTACCATGTAAAAAACAAGCTTTGTAAGCATCTCTTTATTTTAGGAATTTTTTTCTTATTTCTATTTAATATATTTCGGAATGAATTTTTGTCTTTGTTAATCAATTAATTGTGTGTTTATACGAATCCATTGTACGACTCGCATGGGATCTTTATGTCAGATTGTTCTCTTCGAACCAAGGATTTAATTCAGGGGTTGATAAAATTTGCTTAATAAATTATTTTGAATTTCGGAAGTCGACAAAACCCAAGAAAGTAAAGCATTTAACGTGAAGTCCGCGGGTTTTTTAACTTAACAGAGTTGACGTTATAAGTCTGGTTTGGAATAATCTCGAAAAATGATCTACGGTGAAATACAGATTCCTTCTTTTATAGGGGAGGAGGAACACAAACAAGAGAGGGGATATAAGATAAGATTTCAATTTCAATAAATGGGACGTCAGAAGGTGACATCTAACGTAGGGATTTTCGGATTCTCCATTAAAATTTTAAATTTTCATTCATCATCGCTTATTTCACAACATTCAAACTGCAACCAAAGTTGCAAACATCTTGCAATTAATTTCTATTTTATTTTATTTTTAAGTGGCTGGAGCTGCCAATCCAACTCACTAATAACTTACAAACATCCATTCCCGAACCCGGATTCGAACCAAGGACCCTCAATACCGCAGATGAGCATTCACTCCACTGCGCCACTGAACCGGCCACTTATTCAGGACAAAAATTATTGCGTTTCGTTATTACATAAAAATTCTCCCTCGTAATTACCTCGCTTTTCTTGCAAGTCAAATGTATAAAAACTCATTTCTACAAATTTTAGTTAAGGGAGAATCCTAATTATCGCACGATGTTTCCAACATTTCATGTTTTAATCAAGAATTATTTAACGTGAAGGTGTACCTTTGTCGTTATGTAACTGACGATATTGTTTATCATAAAAGACACTCATTTAATTAAGTTTGTAAAGTTGCAGCATAACGCAGCGTAACTCAAACTTCATTTATTTGTCTTATTAAAGTCAGCTTATGTTAGCTTACCCAGTTTACTGTATGTACAAAGTAAGTTTTGAATTTTGCAAATTCTTAGATGCAAAATCGTTTTTCGAACATTCTAATCAGCTTAAAAGTTTAGAACGTTTGTTAGCAGCAACGTTGTTGTTTGAGTACTCATAGCTCGTATTATTAAGACAGCGTCGATGAAAAGTTAATGTTTAACTTTACGCTATGAAGTGCTACAAATTGTTGGCGATATTTCATATTTAAATTGATGTAATATCGTATTTCCATTTCCAGATATTCCTTTCTTATTTTTCTGGAGTGTCACTTCTCGCAATAAGCGTTCATGCATTTCACCGCTACGCCATTTACTTTTTCATATTGCTTCTCATTTTTTGAATGATTGATATTGGTGCTATTTGGCAACATCACTATGCTTAGCGAGACGCAAGAATTTTGCATCATCTACATTTATTGCAAATGCGAATGGCACTCCATGGTGGAAGCTCTTACCGTTCATTGTTTCTAAAGTGTAAACTTTCCAACTTGGACGGTTGATGCAATTTATATAACAATGGGTAAGGTGTTTGTTACTCGAAAATTCATCTGTAACTGTACAAGGATCTCACGCCTCGAATTCATTTGTCAAGGGTTTCAATTCGTTCAAGTAGAAAGCCGAGCTATTTCCATTTTTCAAATTATATAACTAGTTTTCGTTTTGATAAATAATCGGTAAATTGGTGTAGGTAAATCGTTCTCTGATTGTGATTTGGATTGACACTCCTAACTTATCTGATCATAATACAGACGGGAGAAAGAAATGGAAACTAAACGCTAAACTTAATAGAAACAAATTGGAGTTACCTATACATACTACTAAATGAAAATTTCAATAAACGCTAACGGTGAAATTTAAATAGAAAAATTGATCTAAGCGTATAATGTGAAATTGCGCCCAGTTTTTCCTTTTAACAAACCCAGCCCCAACAGCAACTTCAGCTTATTCATATATTTCTGCCTAGATTCACGTTTACAACATTCGATGTTGAAATTATTCCCCAACTTGCCTAAATATCCCATCTGTTATGTTTAATAAACCCTTTCTTTCATCTGTTTATTAAATTTTCACCCTTTTTTGTTTCATTTTCATAATTTTCTTTTACTTCATTCTTTTTCTTCAATCCCGATTCTTGATTATCCCTAGCTTTCCCTTTCGCCCATTCCTATTTTTTCAGTTTTCATTTAAACGTTACTTTGTGAGTATATTGTCTAATACCAACTAGTGAAAAATTATATGACTTCGTCAACTATATCAAGTAGGTAACGTAAATTAATTATCCACAAAAAGAAAAGAATAAACGATATTTATAAATATTATACACTATATTTGTAATAAGAAAATACGTAAACGTATTCTGTAGGGGTTAAATTTTTAACGGTTACAGATAATATACTGAAACTGTTATTTGAAACCTTTTTGTGTTCCCAAAAAATGAAACGATCAGCACACGCAAATTGAAAAAAATATGGACCTTAATTTTTTATTGGGTTTTATTCTTCGAAATGAGAACATATTGCGTCATATGAAGCTAGCACTGAATTAATCTCATCCACCGCGTCATTCGTGGATTAATAAGATGGCGGGTTCAATGCTATATTTTATTTTATGCCTCTTTTGTTTTGGGCCCTCGACAGGTTTTCGCCCAATTACAAAGTGACCCGCATAATGCTTTTTTACAGGTGCCTCTGCACATCATCCACGTACTGCGTAGGTAGTAGTAATATCCCGTATTTCATCCATAAGAAAGAACGATGAGAAACAATTAAGAAAAACTGCGAGGGAAGTTAAACTTGAAGGCTGAGTGAAGATAAAAGTTGAGCGTTGAGTATTGAGTGAAAGTAAACGCCCTAAAAAACACACGTAATGAAAAAAATGCTGCGTGATTATGTAACATACCTGGTATTGTTTAAATGCAAAATATAGATCCGTAAAAACCATTCAATGGAGCATACATCAGAAGGAAGAGAGAGAGAAACCACTCCAAATATAATTATGGGAAAGCCAAAACACTAATCCCACTTCAGGTAGACGTGAAGTCAGAAAAGTAGTGGCGTAACAAAAGAAAACATTTGCATCTAACCAATGCGAAAGTAGAACGAATGACCAAATTAAAGGAGAAGGGACAGCCTTAACTGCAGACAGGTACTAGAAACAAGACAAAGAAGTATCGTATAAGAAATCTATAATACTAGGATAGCCTCTAACGGCAAAACAAAGAACTATAGGTAATAAGAAATCTATACTAAAATAGTAACAAATTGAATACATGAATTAACATACATCTAAAACTAGTGGATTACAATTTACAAAGAAGGTACATAGCGTAAGATTATCAAACGCTATGATCTGTTAAGTCTATACAGGGCGTAACAATTGAGTAAGTATATAAGAAAGAGAGGACCAAAAATGCCTTTTTCGAGAGCTACATCAAAAGTCCCAACATTTATAAAACTTCTTCAAAAATTCTCAAGATCGCGTGGACAAGAGGAATTCCGATCTGGAGGAGACTTGGTACCTGGATTTCTTTGAACACGAAAATTTGACATGGTTCAGGTTTCACACTATTCCCAAGAGCACAACAATCCAAATTGCTCTGCGTATGAAACAAGCACAAAGACAGCTCCAG